AGAGTGCTCACAGGTAGCGGGCCATTTACATGCATTATTCCATTATTACGAGCTGGGTACTGTGATTGTTTACATTTTGCTGATAAGGGCATTGGTTCCAAAGATGTAAGTAATTGACCTATTATTACATATTAAATAGCAACAGGGGACCAGAACATAGATCTGCCTGAATCCAAAGATTATGTTCTTAACCATATTGTACAATAGTCCCCCCTTACCCAAGGGAGATATGTTCTGTGACCCTCAGTGGATGCCTAAAACTGCAGATAGTACCTACCTCTATGTGTACAATGTTTTTCCACACATACGTACCTACAATAAGATCTTTTAGGCAATTTCATGGATAGATAGTTTGTTTTTAGCAACCTCAGCATACGGTTTTTTTCTTTCCTTATTAAGTGATGAACTTTTTCCTTTTCAATTAAAGGAAGCATGTTATGGCTCCTCCTTGGCACGTCCAAACTGCCAGCATCACTACTCTTGTGCTTTGGGGCCTTTATGAAGTAAAATGAGAGTAACAAGCACAGTGATACCATGAGAGTGGATCTGATACCCGGCGGCTACTAAGCGACTCACAGACGGGCGCGTCTACAGCATCAGGCGTTGGTGACAGGAGGCTGCTGTCCACCTCACAGCACAGTGTGCGTGGATGTGAAACGTAAGGGCTCTGCAAGGTGAGTTCAGATTGGGAAACCTTGCAGAGGGAGGGACTGAAAGCAAGATCGCAAAGGAACTTCAGGATGTGAAAATAAGTAGCAAAGTAGGGGGGGGGGTCAGGACAGGGTTGGGTGACACTAAGAAGTCCTTACTACCCATACCATAACCCATCTAGAAAGTGGAGGAGGCGGGATCCAAGCCCCAGACTGGGTGTGCACTTCAGCGTGGGTACTGCCGCGTCCCTGGCATGGAACCCAGCACTGTGTGGATGGTAGGCATGCAGTAAGTATTTGAGTAAATGAAGGGACTCCAGCCTGCCACATCTCGTTTCTCAGTGTCAGTTTCTGCCTCAACAATATGGGAACGGGGCGAGGCTGTCTCTAGGAGGACCATGCGGAAGGATGTGTGAGAAGGGGCTTGTAAGTTGCAGATTTTTATATAGACCATATAACAGCACTTATTTGTGCAACAGTACACGTTTGAAAAATGCTTTCTTTGAGTGGGAGAGAAGGGGATGCGTTTCAATGGAGGGAAACATTAAAGGCTGCAGTGAGTGGACTCTGTGAATGAGCCCAGGCACGAGGAGGTGGATTCTCTTTAACTCTGCTTCCCCATTGGCTATGTAGGTTTCCATGGTGCTTCTGCAATACATCTCCTCCACGAGAGGGTCCAGGGTCACCTCTCTGCTTAGCCAGGCAGCATGAATAACGGCATGTTGGGAAGAAGGAGTCTCGGGCTTTCGGGTTATAAAACCTGGGGAGAAACCTTGCTTTCCCCTTCACCTTCCCTGAGCCTCGGTCTCTGCACCTGTCAAATAGGGTGACATTATCCACATCTCACACATTGCGGATCAGGACTCAACGATATAATGATCGGGACAGGCCTGCTTCAATCCTCGCTCCCTAAGAGGTAGCGGCTGTTTGTGTTATGAGAGTAACCGAAGGTGTCAGGGGAGGCCCAGGATGGAGGCGGCCTGGGCCACCCTGCCGGCGGGGGCGGAGGGGTGGAGAAAGAGGAAGATGTCAACCTCACAGGCCTGGGTCAAAAGTCACAAGGCCATACGCTTTCTGCCTGTCTCAGCTGTAATTGAAGAACTGTTCCAGAGACACATCTGAAAGCTGTTAGGGGACCAGGCCGGGCCTGGGGGGCCCTCTGTGAAGGGAAGAGTGTGGCGGCCCCTGACAGGGAGAAGGAAGAGGGAAAGGGAGAGGGAGAGAGAGAAACAGACCCACATCCATGCCCGCCAGGAGAGCAGAGTGAGGGGGGGAGAGAGAGCGACCGAGAGGGAGCAGCCAGACCTCTGCGTTTCTCAGGGATCCAGCAGGGTGCCGGCTACCTTCTGCTCAGTTCTTTCATTTTCTTTTTGCCCCCCTGGGGCAGGCTGAGAGCCATGAAATTTGAACTAGGACTCCTGAGCCATCATAAACTCCACATCCTAATGTTACGGTGG